CGGGCCCCCTGCGGTTGCTTTGAAATCTAGTTCACAGAGGCGGCCACCAGCTTTCGTTTTGAAAGGGGCAGAACTGTCAGGGAGACCGGCCGACCTTTGCGCTGGTGACGGGCCAGGAGACCTGGGAACCTGGGAGCCAATGGTTAATTTATCCCGCGGTCGTCCTCCTCCTCCTCTGGCCCAGTCTGAACACCTGCCATAAAAACAAGGGTGGCATTTAATTCAAAACCCTCAGTGCATAATTAATTGTTCCAGGAGCTTGCAGAGACGCTGGGAGGAGAACTGGCAGAGAGAGCCTGGATGTTGTCAGGAACTTTGCTCGGTCACCGAGGTTTGGTTCTGTCCCTGTGCTGTGGGAGACACAGGTAGAGGTCTGGGTTGGTAAGGAGATAGGCTTTACCGGGGGAGTTCATGGATTTTGCTCCTGCGGGAGCGGAAGTCAAGGGCAGCCTTTCTGAATGTCAGGGAGTAAGGCGATCTCAGACCTAGGGCCATGCAGGTTGTTGGTCTGATAAACAAGAGTAGATTGTTTTGTTTTGTTTTGCTCTGCTCGCGGGTTTTTCTCATGGGCTGAAACCTGGCTACTTAAATCGAATGACTTTGTAAAGGATGATTCATAGGAGGACCCACTCCGGGGCTCCGTATCTGGGACCATGAGTTTGGGCTCAGCGTCTAGGTTAGCGTGTCTTCACAGGGACTTACTGAGGGATGCAAGAATGAGGTTTTTGTACGTGGTTAATATTTAATTAGCTCGTTCCCAGAAATATCTAGTGAGCGGCCCCATGGTAGGAAGGGCCTAGAGGAGGCTGCTGCTTCCAGGCCCCCTCGGAACAGAAAATAGCACATCCAGCCAGGGACCCAGCTCCCCTGGCCGCGCAGCCGGTCGGGACAGGGAGCATGGAGGACCGCGCCAGCCGGCTTATGCTCTTAAGTCCTTGCTGGCCTGCCAGCCTGGCCTTTCCACTGGTGACTTGACCTCAGGAGGAAGCAAAATGCTTCTATATTCCCCTTCTTGACAGGACACACCCTGTTTTGCAAAGGTCTCTGGGGTTAGCACCCAGGCGTGCTCAAGGAGGGCAGTCGTGTTTCCTGCTAGTAGGTGGTGCTCCCGGTGGTGACGCTGGCTGCATGGTGACAGGGAGAGATCCCAGTGGTGTGTCAGAACGGATACAGCCGTTTCTTCCCGTGAATTTAATCCCTTTGGTGATAAACCCCTTTCCGGAATGGAGGTCGCAGCATTTCTTGGGCGAGTCTTCCCTGCTTCACTGTATTCCAGGTAGAGAATACGCAGGAAAAGAGCCTCCCTGTGCTCCGCACCTAGAGTGCCCGTGTCATAAACAAGATGCAGCAGTAGCAGGGGACACACGCGGGGGAGGGCAACCTGAGTCCCGGCCGAGCGCCTGGCAGGGTGCTGGACGCCCGTCAGCCGATGTGTTGTGAGGCGGACTCTGGCTTTGAGGAGGGACAGAGGAGCCACTAGCCAGGAGCGTGAGTGCCTCTGCAAGCCGGAAAGGCGAGGTGTAAAGACACCCGGCCCTGCCACGCCTTCCTTTTTCTTGTCGTCGGTTTAGAATTATTTATTTAATTTTACTCGTTATTAGTAGTATTTATTTGTAGTTTGCCCTAGGGCTCACCAGAGAGAAGGAGAAAGTAAGAAAGTGAGCTGCCAGGTCCGGGACTCACACCGTGTCGGCTGCAGAGAGTCCAGTGTGACCTGCCACACCTTCCTTTAATCCCCTGAGACTCCTTGGACCTACAGAACTAGAGAACAATGCGCTCCCGTGGTTTAAATAAACACATAAGTTTGTGACGATTTGTTACAGTCGTTGGAAACTGATAGTGTGTCGAGCAGGTAGCATGGTGCTTCGCACACAGTAGGTGCTCAGCAAACAGCCAGCTAGTTGTGCCCCTGCCTACACCCACCCCACACAATTCCGAAGTCAAGGCTGATCTCGGATCTGCTATTAGAGCAGAAAGTTTTCTTTGAAGCAGGTCCTCCCCCCCCCCCCCGAGTCCTGCTTTTTCATGATCTGCCTTTGTTTCCCTGGGCCTCAGTTCCCCTGCAGATATGGACATAGGATGAGAGAAACCCTTCGCATTACAGTGCCGGCCACTAGCCACTGCTCAGTGACCCAAGCCCATTGAGTGGGCGTTAACCCAGACAAGACCACTCAGGTGTGAGGGTCCCCGCAGGGGTGGGCAGCCCGTGGGAAGTGGACAAGCCCAGCTGTCCGGGTCAGGGGCACGTGCTCTCTGCAGTGTATGTGGAGGCAAGTCTTACACAGATCAGCATTTAACGGCCGGGGAGGTCTCAGCCCTGGCCGCATGTGGCGACGGCTTTCCCCGGGAGAGTCGGACGAGAGGCCGCCACAAGAAAACGTAAGCAGAAGCAGATGACGTGAATTTTTTCTTACTCTGTTTCGTTTATTTATTTTTAAGTTGTTTTGTTTTGTTTTTGCCAGAGTGCACGTTTGCCAGAGAGAGACAGAGACTGAGAGGGAAAGTGAGAAATCACCTGGAGGGGATGGCCATGCCACAGCCCTTCCCCTCCACTCCTCTCCTGGGATCTTGGGCACGCACGCACATGTGCCCAGCGTGAGTTTCAAGCCACCAGGGCCAGGACTCGAACCGTGGTTGGCCATGTGGAAGTCTAGCAACTTAACCACTACGCCACCTGCTGTTGAAGTTCATTTGAATTCTGCATTTCATTGTCCCAGAATATCCAGACTATACGTTTCCATGTGTAATCACCGTAAAAACGACAGATGGGACGTTTTACCTGCTTTTACTCCTGCTGAGTTTTTGTTTTTGTTTTTTTTTTTAACTTTATTCATTATTTTTTAATTTGACCAGAGAGAGATAGAGAGAGTGAGAGAAAGTGAGAAAGCAAGCCACCAGGTCCGGGACTCAAACCGCAGTCGGCTCTATGGGAGTCCAGAGCCATAACCACCATACCACCTGCCGGTCCCCTCCTGCTGCGTTTGGACTGACCACTCTTCTCAATGTGGACTTGTCATTTTTGGGTGCTCAGTAGCTACACACGGCTGCGCCTGTTCATTGTCTGCAGAATGAGGACCATGGAGGGTTAGAACCGCTGGGAGCTTTTAATCGTGCCGCAGTCCAGTCAGCCAGCACCGGTCGGTTGGTTGTTTTTGTCTGCACAAGGGCGAGACGGAGAGGGAGAAGCACTCTCCGGAGGGTCCGGTCCTGCTGTGCTCCTGCAGCTCTTCAGCTCGCCAGGATCTGGCAGGTGTGGACAGATTTGGCGGGTGTGGACATGTGATTAGTGTTTCAGGCCTCCAGGGGGATCTGAACCCCAGCTCAGCCGTGCGGCTCTGGCACTGCAGTCAGCTGCTGCTGTACCACCAAGGCTAGACCAGCTGCAGTTCCGAGACTCCACAGCCAGGTGTGCTTTAGACTCGAATTCTTTGAACAGATTTTTGACATAGGGCACATGTGGTCGCCATAAAGACAGAGAGAGAGAATCATCGCCTCCCCCCCGGGGGTTGGCCACGCCGCAGTCCCGTCTCCGTTTTCCTGTGGGGATTTTGGGCATGCATACACAAGCTCCTGGCATGAGTCTCAAGCTGATGGGTCCTGGACTCGAACTACAGTCAGCTACATGGGAGTCCAGCACCTTAACCACTACACCTCCTGCTGGCCCTAGAATCTTATTCTTATTATTTATATATTTTTTTTTCAAGAGAGATTTTTGCTATAGGGCTTGGGCACTTACTGGAGAGACAGGGAAACACAAAGCAAGAAATCACCTCCCCCAGGAGGATGGCCACAAGCCTTCTCCCTTTTCCTCTGGGCTTTTGGGCATGCACGCACAAGCCCAGCATGAGTTTTTAGCCACTGGGTCTAGGACTTGAACCATGGTCCACCATGTGGGAGTCCAGCATCTTAACCACCATGCTGACTCCATGGTTATTATTATT